TTTTGAGAAGTGCTCTACCTCTGTGGACATGGTGTTTTAGTTCATAATCGCAGCCAGCGCTCAGCTATTGCAGCCAATATGCAACTGGGTGTTTTCCAACTTCAGCAACGAAGCATCCAGCTTTAGGCTAGCGCTGTTTGGTATGGACATGACGTGGACGGCCTGCCCGTTGGAAGCTTGTAGAAAGCTTGCAGACTATGTAGCCCGAGCTCCAAAGTTTCAACTTTTACTTGAGTTACATGGGTCCTTGGATGCACAAAAAAAAAGGATTCGTGCATTTCCTTGTGGTACAGGGCAAATTCCATAACCTAACGGTCCTTTTCTTGCTTTAAACTACGAGGTGCTGTAGCGAAGTCTGCGTGCACTGGAAGAGGCGTGCGGTTCTTCATGCTGTTGCACTGAGTCGGGAGGTGTGCTTGCTTGAGAGCCAGTCCTCAGCTGGAGCGTGCATTCTCATTCCCCAACTCGGCTCGTAAAGTGGGATGGGAAATCAGGTCTTGGTGGCACCTTTTGTTTTCCTGGTGTGTCTGTGGTGTCTCGAGGGTTAAACACTTGGGTCTAACTCATGATACAGACAGATGTAACAGTTGTATTGATATCAAGGATTTAAGCTATTAAGAAGTGACCCTTACAGCACAGAATCCTGCAGTGAAGTGTAGCAAAGCTGCTGCAACTTTAACCCTGAGTGAAGTGGGACCAGTTTAAAATTTATGATTTAACTGATTTGTATTACAACTGATGCGTGCTTCTGAGCAGCAGCTACAAAGTGCATTTGTCTGTGCCCTTAGGTTTCTGGGGGGTGAGGTAAGGGTAATGAGTGAAGCTTTGGAGTGAGATAAGAGAGATCAAAGATGATCTTGTGGCCTTGAACTCTGGGGAAGTTTAAAGCTGTGAGTGGGCACAGAGTGAGAACTGACTTCATTAACTTGACCAAATCAACACAGCATTTAAAGGCATTTTTTCCAAAGTGCAATTTTGTAGCCACACTTTTTTTTTAACCACCCTGGAGGTGACAGTGCAAACGTGCATTTGTAATTAAATGTCAGCACTGGATTAGCTCAAATTACAAAACAGAAATGAGTAGGAGTCATGGAGTGACTTCTAGCTAGACATATATGGAGACCATTTGAACACTGGCTGTGGACATTAATTTCTACCAAAAGAAATTCCTTCTGGGAGAAAAATAGCCCAGGAGCCAAACTGTACAGACGTTCCTCCAGCAGCCCCATGGCTAGAGACATGAATGCCTCGTGCCTCCTGAGACTGGGGACCGCTCACAGGCAGCCACAGCAATGTCACTGGCGGCGGGGGGCAAGCGGCGATCGCCTGCAGATGCCGCCAGCAGTGTCGGCCAATCTCAGGGGGTGCGTGTGCACCTCCTACACGTTGCCAATGGCTAGAGAGATTCATAGGCAAGCTCTCCTGCCAGGAGCACTAGGGGTTGTTCCCCAAGGCCGCCCTGCCCTTAGGAAGGAACCTGTTAATTGGCAGCTTGCCCTCTCCCCTGCTGGGGAAGGGGACGGGCTGTCAAGTGGCAGCTGGCACAGAAGGCAAGGATGGGTTCCCTCGCTTGGAGAATGCCTGTCCTCGTTCTCCCGACCCCATCTCGGCGCCTTGTTGGTCGGAATAGCCCTGCTCCTTGTGCTCTGGGCTAGCCTGGAGGAGTGCAGGCAGGGGTGGGGGGCACTCGGCTGCCACGCCAAGGCTCCAGGAGCCTGGTGGCCAGTCTCGCCCTGCTCCACTCTGGGTCAGCAGGGCAGCAAGGGGAAGCTAGCAGGGATGGGAGCTGGGCTTGGGGAAAGTCTGCGTGCCAGGCTCCCAGTCCCTCTGGCTTTTAAATCACCACCCCTGCCACTGAAGGGGAAGTCGGTACCGCTGAGAGCCAGGCTTGCAAGCCTACTTTGCCACCCCTGCTGCTCCTCACTCCCAGCCCCGGGCTTTTAAATTAATTGCTGCAGGCCCAGTGGGAGCTGGAAGACCTTTCCAGAGTCCCACTCTTGGCTGCTAGCTTTTAAATCGCCAACCCACTGGGCAGTGGGGCAGCAAGGAGAAGCCGATGGGAGCCAGCAAAGCCCCCTGCCTCTTCCCAAAACTGGGGACTGCCCAGTTTGAGGAATAGGTAGGGAATGGTGACTGCTCGTCCCCTCACCTCCTGGTTTATGGAAGTGGGAAAGCAGCTGCTCGGTCTCAGGAAGGCAGCGAGCCTGTCCCCAGACTCCAGGAGGAGTTAAGCTGTGCCCATGTTCAGCCTCTCCGGAGAAGCTCTCCTGGGGTTAATTTAACTGGTTGTTCCAAGGTTATTTTTCTCCCAGAACGGCTATTTTTGCTCCAGGAGAGAACGCCTTGGTTTCTACCAGGAGAACAGCGATTCTGTGCAACCAAAAGGACTACTTACCGGCAGGCACTGTACGTATTCGAGACGTTTGTCTTTGTGGCTCACTCAAGCATGTCAGCTAAAGGTTTCTAGCCATGCATGCACATAGGAACGAGGATCCATCTAAACAGTGCTCCAAGAATCAGGGCGTTGATTAAACCTGCTTGCTGCTTCAACTCCCTTTCCGCGTTTCCCCTGGGAAATTAAGAGATCTCACACATGGAGGGAAGAGCCCTACCGAGACATCGAGTCACCCCTTGCCAAAGCTGGATTGCTCATGTAGACATGCTCAATAGGGCTCCCACAACTTCCCTCAGGAGGGTACCTTACAATCTCACTAGCTTCAGGAACAAGGATTTTCCTTGTAACCTATTTCTTCATTCCATTACCCCCTACTAGCCCCTCCCAGAAGTCGCTCTAAAAGAGGGTACTGCTTCTGGAGCAGGAGGTGGAATAGAGATGTGGCCACACAACACATGCTCCTCTTAATCTTCCCATGAAAATGAAGGAACAGGTACCTTTTTTATGATCTTTTCCTGGATGAAGATTAGCCTGCTGCTGAGAGGCAGCTCGGTTGGTACTTCACTCGGTCCAGAAAGCAATTTCCCAAGATATGGCTAATGGGCACCATGCCAACTGTGGCTTTGTGTCACTCTGCCACCTTGCTGGTGCTATTCTCCATCTTTCTCTTGCAGCACTAGGATCCAAATCCTTGAAGAGTGGTTTAGAGTCTCAGTGCTTAACTGGTAGACACTGCTGCCTTGGGGAAGTCTGCAGCCCTATGTTAGGTCCCCAGTCTCCCTATACACAAGGCAAGAGAAGAGTTAGACCCCGAAGAACGGGACTCTGATGGCATCACACTGAAGAGGAAGCTGTGCACGTAATGGTAGGTACAGCAGTGAAGCTGAAGTCCTTTAGGAGGTTGTCCCCCGTCTCAGGGTGGAGGAGGCTCCTCACTCTTTTTGGGAGTCACAGGCACAAACCTTCTCTGCCTGACCTGGAGCAGGGATTTGCTCCCAAACATCCCATGCAAGCATCCTAACCACGAGGCAGCTACAGGATGTCCTAGAGTGGACGTCTCACTTCCTCTGTAGTGGCTGTGCCACTTCTGTACAAACCAGACAGCTTTCACCAGTGACAGAGGTGGACCTGCACTAGTCTGTTGCCTAGTGAGTAAGGCACTCATGAAAGAAAGGATACCCGACTTCAAATCCCTGTTCCAAATCGGGAGAAGACATTTGAATCCAAGGTCTCACCTGTGGTCGGTGGTGGGCAGGGGTGCACTAACTATTAGTCCACTGCAGGTAACTTTTCCCCAGCCCCCAAGAGGTGTATTCCAAAACCATTTACTCGGGTGTCCCTTAGAGGCACATAAGGCAGGGGAATGGCCCAGCTCGTGCATCCTGCCCAGACTTATTGATGGAAGCCCAAATGTGTAAGGAACTTGGCAATAGCTGAATGGGCTCTAGATTTGCCACCTGAAGTGCTATGCGGGGCTAACTCCATAAAGAACTACGGTAGCTACACATGTTCATCATGCCTGGTATCGACATTTGCTTTACTTTATGTCTCTTTTCTTATGCCTCTTTTCTAATATTATTCTAGGCTAATTCTGCACAAAGTCTTTTACACTGCAGGACTCTTGTCCAAATGCCCTGCGTTTTCTTGTTAGCATTAGCCGGCTGTTCAAGGTGCACTTTACCTTTCTTACAAGTAGCTGGAGAGGGCTGACATTTGAACAGCCCATTTAAAAGTTATTGTTTTCGATGGGGGAGAGGGAAAGTTTTACAAAATTCCCTCCCCCCCCCCCTTTTTTTAAATAAGTTTAACTAACGTTAACCAGCAGGTCCCACATCACCTTGCTACATCTCTTCCCAAATCATTTAAATTCAAAAGCTTAAACTTACTGTTTGTTCCTTTGCCTGCAAACTAAGTCACTTCTTCAACCCATCAGTGAGGCTTGCTCTCTATGCCAACAGTGTAATTCTTCAACATAGATCATTGCAACAAATGTTTCTCGAGCTTTTCCTACCATAGATATTTTACAAGCCTAGTTAGATCTTCAAATCGGTGTGGATTAGGGATGAAGATGCTGTACTCCTGGGGCTCGGGAAGAAAAGATACCTTCTGACAAGGACTTCTTTTGCTAGCGAGTCTGCTGGGGCCTGGCACGTAGCCTCTGTCACATCTGGGCAGGTGCGTAGCTCAGAATGAACGATGCTGTGGAGAGCTCAGACCAGAGCTGAAGAGATGCAGATGAGCTGGACTTCTCCCAGCAAAGGCTCTGTCAAACATGGACGTCACCAACGCCTTCAGCATTTGTTTTATCTTGATACAAGCTAGGTGCCATGCTGCTCCCTTCGCACTCTCTAACTCTGCTGAGGGTCCAAGCCTGTTTAGGTCTTCTAGTTTATCTAGTGTAATACACCCTGTTTACAGTGAGATGCAATTCAGCCTTAATTATAACGCTAAGGAGCAAAATCCATTGCATTCATCCAAGGTGGTACATGACAGGCGTATGCCACCAGTGCCTGTGCCCATTCAGATGCTCGTTCACACTCACTAACTCTGCATTCTATCCTGTTCCCAAAGACGGGCATGATAGAGCTATAAGTTTTCATGGCAGCCCGTGAGCCCAGCCCTGCCTCCCTGGGCAGCAGAGTTCAGTGCCACAGGTTAACGAGCCAGGGCAGTGGGTGATAACTATAAAAGAAAAATATTTGGCAGTCTTCGTTTATTTTAGCTTAAACATTTTTTAATAAAAAAAAACAAAACAAAAACCGAACAAAGATCAATCAATAAATAAAACCTAATCACCATCAAGGAAACGACATATTAAGTAGAGAGTACCATCAGTCACATTAAATAGAAGCCCCACAATTTAAAGTAGTCTTCAACGCTGCAATGAAAGAACATTTTGTAAGCCTAATTGTTCACAAACAAGACTAGCTGTTCTGTTGTAACCTTCATGTACTTATAATGCCCTATTCATAACACGAAGACTTGTCACTCTTCACACAAAAGTCCCTGTTGAAACAAAGGGGTTTGCATTTCTTTTCTTTTTTTTTCTATCAGTGGCAAAAAGTGCTAAAAATAATTTATCCAACGTTAATAGCAGAAAAGGCGAGCCAAAGCAGCATCAAGCCTTTGGTACCAGGATTTGGGATTTCTTTACAAAATATGCACAAGCAGTTAGCCTCAAAGACTGCAGACCCGGCCCAGTGGAATTCAAGTACAGCAAGTCAGTCCGACTGAACATGTCACTGCCTTTTCAGAGGCAGGAGTTAAACTCCTGTCCTCGAATGACATTACAGCTAAGCAGAATAGAAACAAGGATAGTCTTACCAAAGATAGGAACGGTTTTACACTTTAGGCAATTATAACTTCGGGTTTGTTTCACAGATTAATAACTCACCGCTGTGAAAGCTTCAGGGTAGTCACTACAGGACAGGGCTTGAATTCGTATTCATTTAGTTGGCTATTGGAATACACTGTATATTTTTGGAATATCAACCGTAGCAAAACCAGTAATTATCTACAGTACGCAACCTGCACTGAACAGATTGCAAGGGAAGCACATAGTTGAATTTTGGGAAGATGGTGCCTAGGAAGCTTTTTGTACATTCATGTCACCAGCATTTAGAGTCACGGTTGAAGTTAAACTAGTACTATTCTGCTTTGCCGTTTGTGTAATACAAAGCGTCCCTATACAAGTTACATTTTCCCCAGGCATGCGCAGGCAGAAGCCCAACCCCGCTACCTGCACTTTGACTACCAAGGAAATAAGCGCAAAACGTTAGAAAAATACGAGACAAGAAAAAATTTGAGATAAAAATATATACCTTTGGTTAAAAACCATCCCCTTTATAATAGTCTCTCATAACCCAGCTAAGAACAAAAAAAGCTTCACTCAGACTGAACAGTAGTAAAATTAGTTCTAACCAGCTCATCTTCCCACCCCAAAGAAACCTTCTACAATGTCAGTAAGGTTGCAGGTTTTGCACAATTTGTTGTCCAGCATCTATAAGGGTCACTGTATTTGCAGCAAAAAATTATTTTAATTTTCCACCAAAAAAAAAAAAAGAAAAGAAAGAAAAAAGGTTGTATGTAGCGCAGGATCTTCCACCAAGTCTTTACAAAAGATGAGCTAGAAGTTCTTAATCGAAAAACCGCTGAAACATGTACTTTTCTTCAGATACTGAATATCCAAACTTCTTATAGAAAGCCACGTTTTTTGGCAGACACTCCAGAGTAATTTTGTAACAGTTCAGTCTCTTACTTAACAATGTAAGGGTAGACATTAAGCTGAAAAGAGACAAACACACCCAAACAACAGTTATTTAAAACAGCACTGCATCCAGTTAGCCTTTAATTCTGCAGGAGGAACACTAAACACTTCATACTACACACGTATACTATTCACGGGGAAGCCCATGGTGCAGCACGAGGGCCAAGGTGGGGACCACATGCAGCAGTGGGGGGCGAAAGGGGAGTGCAGCTTGGGGGCCTATGGCTAGCACTAGTGCGGTTCCCCTGGTGCGGCCTGTGTTGCCTGCGGCTCCTGACCCCTTAGAAGTTGGACGGCCATGTATTTAAAAAATAAAGTGTTACTCCCATGAATTAAACAGATTAATTATTCACATGGAAAATGTGGAGTATTCATTTCATCATGCTTAGTGCGCATTTGTAATCAGTCATGTTTAACATGGGATGGAAATATATCATTTGAGTAGATACTCTTAACCCTACGGTACTGAAAACTTTACAAAACTCCTGTTCTCTTCCATCTGCCTTGGATGATTATATAGTAGACTGGGTAGCAAACTGGCTCAAGGACTGCACTCAGAGAGTGGTGGTGGATGGGTCGGTGTCAACCTGGAAAGATGTGTGCAGTGGAGTCCCCCAGGGCTCAGTTCTGGGGCCGGTGCTGTTCAACATCTTCATCAGTGATCTGGATGAGGGGGTGGTCTTATTCGACCGGGAGGGATGTGGGCAATGGGGTCCCCCAGGGCTCAGTCCTCGGGCCTGCACTGTTCAATATCTTCATCAGTGACTTGGACGAGGGGGTACAAAGCACCCTGTTCAAATTTGCTGACAACACTAAGATGTGGGGGGAAGTGGGCATGCTAGAAGGGAGGAACAGGCTGCAATCGGACCTGGACAGGTTACAAGGGTGGGCGGATGAGAACAGGATGGTTTCAACACTGACAAGTGCAAGGTGCTGCACCTGGGGAGGAAGAACCAGCAGCAGACCTACAGGCTGGGGAACTCCCTTCTCATCGGTGCAGAGACAGAAAAGGATCTTGGAGTCATTATTGATCCCAAAATGAACATGGGCCGACAGTGTGGGGACGCGCTCAGGAAGGCCAACCGTACCCTGTCATGCATCCACAGATGCATCATGAGCAGGTCCAAGGAGGTGATCCTCCCCCTCTATACAACACTGGTCAGGCCGCAGCTGGAGTACTGCGTCCAGTCCTGGGCGCCGCACGTCAGGAGGGATGTGAACAGCATGGAGAGGGTCCAGAGGAGGGCCACCCGCAAGGTCAGGTATCAGCAGGGCAGGCCCTACGAGGAGAGGCTACGGGACCTGAACCTGTTCAGCCTCCACAAGAGAAGGCTGAGGGGGATCTGGTGGCCATTTACAAACTAGTCAGGGTGGACCAGCAGGCATTGGGGGAGTCCCTGTTCCCCCAAGCACTACCAGGAGCGACAAGAAATACCGGTCACAAGCTGGCAGAGGGTAGATTCAGACTAGACATCAGGAGGCACGACTTCGCAGTCAGGGCAGCTAGGACCTGGAACCAACTTCCAAGAGAAGTGGTGCTGGCTCCTACCCTGGGGGTCTTTAACAGGAGGCTGGATGAACACCTCTCCGGGCTCGTTTGACCCCAGTGCTCTTTCCTGCCCATGGCAGGGGGTCGGACTTGATGACCTGCTCAGGTCCCTTCCGACCGTACCAACTATGAAAGTATAAGCACCCTGTCCAAATTTACGGATGACACTAAAATATGGGGTGAAGCTAACACCCTGGAGAGGAGAAGCCAGATCCAGGCTGTCCTTGACAGGTTGGGGAAGCAGGCAGACAGCAACAGGATGCAATTCAATAAGGACAAGTGCAAGGTGCTGCATCTAGGGAGAAAGAATTGCCATCATACTTATAGGCTGGGGGGGGACCTTTTCAGCACCACTGAGGCAGAAAGAGATCTTGGAGTCACGGCTGACTCTGGGATGAACACGAGTCGTCAATGTGATGAAGCAGTTGGCAGAGCCAATCGCACCTTGTCGTGCACCCATCTTCACAAACAGGTCCACAGAGGTGATTCTCCCTCTCTACGCGGCACTGGTCAGACCGCAGCTGGAGTACTGTGTCCAGTTCTGGATGCCGCAGTTCAAGCAGGATGCAGACAACCCAGAAAGGGTCCAAAGAAGAGCCACTCGTCTGACTGGAGGCCTGCAGGGAAGACCCTACAAGGAAAGGGTAAGGGACCTTAACCTCTTCAGCCAAGACCAAGAGAAGGCTGAGAGGGGACCTTGTGGCGGTGTACAAATTCATAAGGAGAAAGCAACATGAAGTAGGTGATGATCTGTTCACCCCCTGGAATGACAAAGAATAATGGCCATAAGCTACTGGAGAGTAGGTTTAGACTGGACATTAGAAAAACGTTCTTCACAGTCAGGGTTGCCAGGAGCTGGAATGGACTTCCAAGGGAGGTGGTGCTCGTCCCATCCTTGGTGATCTTCAAGAGGAGACTGGACAGGTACCTGGCTGGGATCACGATCCCAGGTTTGGTGACCTTCTCTTGCCTGCCAAGGGCAGAGGGTCAGACTACCTGGCTCACCGAGGTCCCTTCTGACCCTGGAATCTGAATCTGGGCGTGAAGCAGCTGAGACAGCACAGGAAGAGAACAACACGCTGGACCCTGCTGATGCTGTATTTGCCATTGGTCTTTGCTATTTAGGCAACTGCCAACAGAAATCCTGCCTTGTGCTTCAATGACAGACTGTCTTTAAGGTCCAAAATTCTTTAAGACTTTAGCGAGTTTTTCCAGGCTCATCTGGAAAGCTGAAGCCCAGCAGTAAGAACACCGCTGGTTATACCTCATTTAGAAAAGGCTGTTCGTAAGCGGGTGAGGTGCAGGGAGAAGTGCTAGAAGGTATTGCTCTTTACTGGGGAAGGAGTCCAACTCGAGGGCATTTCCAGGATGGTAGCAGCACACGCCCAAAAGTGAAGACATTGATTCCAGCCACATTGTGACCGACAGACACTTGCTTTATCCTGTCCATACTGAGATTACAGCTGGTGAACCCTGACTTTCCACCAGCGTGATGATATGCCAGGGGTTTGCACGTGCACACCGAGATTAGACATTTACTCCACTTGGGTCGAGCTCTGGATCAGTATACCCTCTTCCAAACAGCTCTACCCCCTTTGTTAACAGACACTAGAAACCAGATGTGAAGAGCGGCTCCATACCTGCCTGGTGTCAAGAGATAAAGGATGTGAAGAAGTACTTACAGTTTGCCAAGCTGCTTTCCTCTGCATTCCCCACTGACCACAACATCTTCTATCCTGCCCCTCTGTGGGAACATGAGCGTGAGTTTAGTTTAATACAGGGCCCAAGTCAAGTTTCAGACAGAACAGACAAATGAATCTCTTCTCACATCAATTAACTATTTTGGCAAGTACTCAGAGAAGAGAGATCCTAAATTGCCTTTAAACTGCCTCAGCAGAACAGCCTGATCTAATTTTGCTTAATTTGCCAGTTAATGGCTAAAAACCTTACTAAGTACAATTAGCTTAATAGGAATACTTCTGGCATTGCAGGTTGCAGTAATACATACCTTTGCACACGAATGAGTGAATTTATGCTCTATAACCAGTGTTGCTGTAGCAACAATCTGCCCTAGATTTGTATCTTCCACGACAGTAATGTAGTAATCTCCAGATCTCTTCATGTGTTCAAAGGTTTCTGTGGAAACAGGATAGCAAGATAGGCATGTGCCAGGGTCCTCTGACTACACAGCTGTCAGTTTTAATGCTTAAAACCCAATTTGAAGGATGAAGTCCAGCTCAGAGCACTGCAGAATTCAACACCGCCATCCAAAAAGGTGACTGAGACTTTCGAAAAATGACAAGTAACACAATCCCAGTGTCAAAAACCATCAACCTCAAATTAGGATGCGAAGAGTGCACAGGGCTGGGGCAAAGCAGGAAACACATTCCCCGGGGTTTTAGCTGCCGAAGAGCTGCCCCTCTAGAACCAACGGTCTGTTAGTTCGATGGGCAGGCCCATGAAACAAACTCATTGGCTCAAGAGGAGCAAAAGCAAGTCCCAGCTTCGAAACGTCAGGGGTAACGACCACGACCGTGTGCCATCTTCCTCCAACTGGAAACATCCAGACATTAGGGAAGTTCCCACTTTGTCAACTCGGCAGTCCCCCGGGACAGACAAATCAGTGCCACAGTGGCCGTGAACTTTGCAAGTCACCCTCCAAAATGTTGAAATCTGCCTGGAGAGAGCTGGCTCACCCAACCCAGCTGACACTGTCCAGCCAGACCGCAGGTACAGAAGTCAAGGGGATCACATTTGCTGTCCACATCAGTATCTTCCTCTTCCCAGCCATCCCTTCTAAAACACCAAGAAACAGCGATGTACTCACTGATAAACTGCTCCGGGCTGACCGCTCCCGTTTCCGTCAGCTGACCCAGAACCTTAAAAAATCCTAGAGGAGGAAAGAAAGAAGGTATGCAATTAGCATCTCACTCCAGCATTTCCGGTGCAAACTTAAATGCCCAACCGATTAAACAAGAGCTGTACATATTTGGCAATGGAGTTGCACCCACGCAAAGGGAATAAGGAGATGCTCACAGGATCATGGGATTTTCCCTGATCACTTTGATTTCCCACCACACAAAACAGCTTAACCATGTCCCATGTAGAACGATGCTTCAGTACTGCACCGTGACTGATGAGAAGGGGACACAACGTCTCCGCACGTCACCGCATTCAAGTACATATTGAAGCGTGCACGTGCTGGGTGTGTGTTACTAAATTTGTAAGCAAACTTCAAATCTGCACCAGAAGCAAGGCAACTGCTTAGCATAATGAATTAAAAGCAAAACACAGCGTGATGGAAGATAAGGAGGCGTGTGAATTAGAACAAAGACAATCTAATGCCAAGTAACCGATTCACATTTTTATTGACTAGCTAAATAACTTAACTAATGAGCTGTCTTTTCAAATCCAATTTTCCCTATTTCAACCTAAAACATTTTCCACGTCATGTAACGCACGACAGTGAACAACCCTCATCCACAACAGTCATTCAGCAGTAGGAAACAGAACGGGACTCTACCTCTATTCAAATCAGCAGTGCAGAGAGGTCTCATAACTAATCCATCCCCTGGATCTAACGGAGAAATGGCAGGAGAAAACATTGCAGTGTTCTCGCTCCAGTCAAGCTCGTGAAGGATATTCGGGTCAAACATCGGCGTATCATCAGGCATCACAGCTGTGACAGGCATCATGGCTGCAATGGTTGCAACAGGTGAGCTGAAACAGAAATGTGCGTTCTGTAAGAAACACCACTGGGATGGATTCAGGATATATACCTTGCACGCCTGCTAACTGCACAGTAACAGGAGGTTTCCTCTCCAATGCAGGGAAAGGTTAATGAAATCTCGATTTGTATTTATTTTATCAGCAGCTGCACTATTTAAACTAGAGCCTGCCAGGATTTGGGGTTAAACAAACATGAAAAGCATACACTCCGAGGTTTTGTAATGCCTAAGTCCACTGAACAGCAACATTATTTTTGTGCCAAAGAAAAATGATCAATTTTTATATGGAATAAAGGCAACTGGAGTAGAGTTTGTATGGGATGCATAGCTAGGGAACTAGAGGTACCTACTTCAAAGAGGCTCCAGCACCCCGAAAAAGCTGTGTCACTGGCTCTCGAAGCTGTACAGACAGCAGTCTGGCTAAAGAGACATCTCTTTGCTGCTTTGGGCAATCTACTATCACTTTTTATGGAGAAGCATTTGCTCTGTCTGTGCAATCTAACTTGCACATTTACAAAAGCAAACACAGTCTCTACCAGGAGTAACCCTCACTGCCTCTTTAAACAAATAAAGTAAAGCTATCAAGGTTACAGTGTACCAACCGTCCCACCGCTGAAAAAGTAATGCAAAGGATTTGGTTTTTTATGTCTCAGAAAAAACAATGAAGGAAACCAGGGAATACATTTTGCTGATCTCTCTTGTAAGAGGCAAGTTATTCCAGCTCTTTGTGGCTTCTAACTAGAGTACCTGGCATGATGAACGAGAGCTTACCAAAGGAGTTTCTCAAGGTTCAATTCCTCCCTTGAGAAAGAGAGATGTACAAAGCTACCACTTTTCAAGCAGAGGTAGAGTTTGCTTCAGCGCATCCAAGAATGCAATAAAACTTATTCTGAATGAGATCCTCATTAATCCTACGAAAAGCATTTTTTTTCAAAACGTATGTCTTTGGTAGGAAAAAACCCTACTGAGTACGTTATCTAGGAGGCATCTGATGGACGCTGCAGCAGAGAAGGCTCTGATCAGACGGCAGCATTTGAGGTGCAACAGGAAAGCTCCCGCGGGTTTACAACGGCCTGCAGATACACACCCTTTTCCCAGCAACAGCGAGGTACGTAAATGCGAGTCCTGTGGTGTAGCTGCGTGCTGAGCAAATACCAATAAAGCCTCCACCCACCTTTATAACAAATAGGGCAGTACTGCACAATCCCCAGAACTTCTCCAGTGCCATTATATATACATACACGTCTCTCTCTCTATATATAGATAGATAGATGCACACACACATCTATATATAGATAGATCTATGTAGATATAGCTATAGAGCTAGATAGATCTCTCTATGTAGATATAGCTATAGAGATGTGTGTGTGCGTGTGTGTGTGTGTGTGTATGTATATATATATATATAAGGATCTCTCCATCCCATGTGAACAATCGGACTCCCTTGTGATCCTCATTAGAGAGATGGGGAAACAGCAGGCAAAGGGGTTACGTGGCCTCCTCGAGGACCCACAAACCCTGTGCCGCGCCGGGAAGGAGAATCCAGGTCTCCCGGCTCCCAGCTCTTCAGCTCCAAGGCACGTGGGTGTCTGCAGAGGAACGGACGCTACCACTACTAGTTTTTCACAAATTACGACGGGGCTGAACAGACTTAAGCCACCGTAGTTCGGGCAACAACCCCGGTACTTCGTGCAGTAGCTAAAGGCACATCAGATTAAGCTTCGACGGTCATCTCTAACTCCAGCTGGTGGATGGCCCCGATGCCGCCATTCGCCTCTCCTCTCGTAAGAAAGCTTACCCAGCACTCCCGGCTAATCGCACGCTAACAAAACCCTTCTCAAACGACACTCGCTGCAACACTGAAGCCAGAGGTAATCTGAGCGTGGCGTCAGAGACGGCGCAGGCACGCCGAGGACAGAGCGGCGTTTCCCAACCCGCGCGCCGCCGTTCACCCTCGACGACGTCCTCCCGACGGTGCCGCGGGGCTGCCACGCACGCAACGTCGGCACCCTCAGGTGTGCGCACGGGATCCAGAAGATAAACCCAGAGGTTTCCAATAAAGGTGCACCGCTGAGAACAAATCCGCGCGATCGCTTTCCTGTCGTCGAAACAAAAGGCTGAACACGAAGAGCTGGCCTTGCCCCAGGGGAGGGGAGGGGTGCCGCGAGGGACCCCGCCACGCCTTAGCCGGGCAGCGCTGTTTGACCAAGCCACCAACTCAGCTACGTGACTCAACCCTGCTCTCGTGTCTAGGCTCGGCCCTGCAGCCTGCGAACGCCCGGCTCGACCCCGGCTCCCGGGAACGGGCGACCAGAGCCGGCTCGCCCGCGGCATCCTCGCCGGGGGGAGAAAAGCCACGAAGCCACCGGCGCAGGCCCCTGCGCGGCCACAGCTCTGGCAGGACACAGGAGTCCAGCCGCCCCCCAACGCCTGCGAGTGTCTGGGACCCCACGCAGTGCCCCCCACACCTCCCATGCAGTGCCCTCACACCTCCCGTGCAGTGCCCCCATACCCGTGCAGTGCGCCCACCCCCACGTGC